CTCACCTCGCTGAGCCTCAGTGTCCCCACTGGTAACAGAAGGATCCCACCAGTATGGCGTTCCAGTGCAGCCCCATTAACTGTAACAATGGGTGTGAATTGGTACTGCAAATAAGAAAGTGCTTCATGATATTTAAAATAAATAAATAAATAAAAAAGGCCAGGTTTCTCAAGACATTAGCCAAGAGGGAGATGGACTCATGTGATTAGATCAGTAAGGGCCAGCTCCGTCCATCCCACAATTCGCACTGGGCATAGTGATCTAACCACTAAGAGACACTGTGCAGGGCCCTGGCTACCCACGCAGGCTGTCAAAGTCAGCCGGATCGGAAATTCCTGGCACATACAGAGCACTAGGTGCTTACTTCCTATGGGGTAAGGACTCTACTCACAAGGGTCAGAGAGATCAGAAGGCACGGCCAGGCTGGACCCAGGGAGGTGACTGAGAAACTGATTCCTGGGACCAGCACTTAGCATAATGGCTGTGTCTCTGGACTCTCATGTAGTCGACCGTGGTTCAAGTCCCGGACCCGGTGGCTTAAACTCACACTGGGCACGTGTACATGTGTGCCCAAGATCCCGAGAGGAGAACAGAGGAGAAGGGACTGCAGCATGGCCATCCCCCCTGGGGGGTGATTTCTCTCTCTCTCTCTCTCTCTCTCTGTCTTTCCAGTGACCGCACATGCCCTATAGCAAAAACCTCTCAAAAAGAAAAAAAGAAAGAAACTGACTCCTGACTCCCTGACAATCTGGTGTCCTTCCTCATCTCCCTGAGCACTGAAACAATCGCTATGACAGCACAGAGGAGAGGAAGCAAGCAGGCAAACACCTCCAGGACGGCAAAGTATTCAAGGAGGGGGGAGTCAGAGGAGGAGCAAGAAAGCAGGGAGGAGCCTGTAATCCCCAGCTACTGGGGGAAGGGGAGGATGAGGCAGGAGGATTACAAATTCAAGGCCAGCCTAGGTAACAGAAGCAAGACCCTGTCTAAATAAAAGAAGGCAGGGGCCAACCTGTGGCCTGGTAGTTAAAGAAGCTGGAGCCCAAATGGCCTCTCATGTGGTTCAAGTCCCAGAACCAGCAGCTTGAAAAATACATGGGATGCATATGTACATGTGCCCAAGAACCTGACAAGAGGGAGAAAGGCGAAAAGAGACTGTGGCGTGACCATTCCCCCGTGATGTGTACTTTCTTCCTTCCCCTCTCTCTTTGACAAGTGCATGTGGCCTCTGGCAAAAAAGAAAAAGAAGGTAAGGATAGAGAAAGGCAGCCCCATTCCTCTCCCAACTCACCTGTCCCAGTTACCCAATCCAATCTGCCCATTACAGCACCACCTACCAAGGCACCAACGATCTCTTAATCTTCACCTTGATAAAAATCACACCAGCCCATGTAGCAACCACCAACCACCTGCAGCTAAGTAAACTTAAAGTCATTAATTGAATGATATTCCAACCCCGGTTCCTCAATTGTACGAGTCATATTCAAAGTATTCAATAGAATGAATCAATAAAATTAAATAAATAATTATTTAAAGAAAAAGGGGGGTATCAGCAGGTGGCTTGGTGGTTAAAGCGCTGGACACTCCCATATGGCCGACCACAGTTCAAGTCCCAGATCTGTTGGCTTGCTGCTTTCTCACTTTTTCTCTCTTTCTCTCTCCCTCTCTCTCTCTCTCTAGGTGTCTCTCTCTGGTCAAATTAAAATAAATGAATGAATAAATAAAATTAAATAAATAATTCTTTAAAAAGAAAATATGTTCAGTAGTGGGCCTGCAGGTAGTACGGCGATTAAGGCAGCTGGATCCCATACAGTAGACTGTGCATTTCAAGTCCTGGACCCAACAGCTTAAAAATCACACCAAGCACATGTGCACGCATGCCCAAAATCCTGAGAGGAGACTGGAGAAGGGACTGCAGCATGGCCATCCACCGGGGAGTGACTTCTCACTGTCCCTCCCTCTCTCTTTCTGTCTCTCTTCAGTGAGCACATGCACCCTACGGCAAACTTAAAATATGTGTCCGGTAACCATGCGAGGCTAATGATTACTACATTGCACAGTGCAGATATAAAATCTTTCCACTAATATAAAAAGTTCTTTTAGACAGCTCTGGTCAAAAATCTTTTCTTTTTTTTTTTTAATTTTGCTACAGGGCATGCACGCTCACTAGAGACAGAGAGCGAGAGGGAAAGTGAGAAATCACCTCGGGCGGGGGGTTGGCCACACAGTATCTCCTCCCCCATTTTCCTTCTGGGATTTTGGGTAGACACACACACACCTGGCGTGATTGTCAAGCCTCCACATCTGAACTCCAACCATGAAGTCAGCCGTGTGGGATCCAGTCACCTTAACCTCCATGCTACCTGCTGACAAATTCTTTTACTAAATACTATTCCTTCTCCTCACTCAAAAAAAAAAAAAAAAAAATCCACCTGATTTTTGTTATTCTTGTCTTTCAGGAAAGGGTATGCACATGTCATTATTCCTGCCACAGCCTGTCAGCTGGGACTACAAGCACAAGTTACTGAACCTGGTCTGTAGTTGAGACCAGGAATTGAACCTGAGCCTCCAATGCTCTGGCCTGCAGAGCAGCACGCACCACAAGGGCTAGGCCCAGACTCTCTTTTTAAATCTTAGAAAGAACAGATGGGAGACACAAGTGAAGGGAAAAACAATTATTGTAAGAAAACATAGAATTTTAGGGCCGGCAGGTGGCATGGTGTTAAAGGTGCTAGATTCCCACATGGCTCATTGTGGTTCAAGTCTCGGACCTGCAGTTTGCTCTCTCCCTTTCTCTCTCTCTCTGTCTGGTCAAATAATAATAATAAATGAAATTAAGTAAAACAAAATAATTTTTTTAAAAAAGAAAACAGACTTCTGGGAACCAGCAGTTAGCATAACGGCTATGTCGCTGGACTCCCACATAGTCGACCACGGTTCACGTCCCGGACCCGGTGGCTTAAAACTCATGCCGGGCGCGTGTGCGTGCTTAGCCAAGATCCCGAGAGGAGAATGGAGGAGAAGGGATTGCAGCGTGACCATCCCCCCGGGGGGGTGATTTCTCGCTTTCTGTCTCTATGTCTCTCTCTCTGTCTGGCGAGCGCATGCCAAAAAAAAAAGAAAAAGAAAACAGACTTTTAAGAACATCAAAGTGGGGGGACTAGCAGGTGGCATGGTAGTTAA